ATTAGCTCCTTTTTCGAAGAATAGATTTTTGTGATTCAATTGATTTAATTCTCATTCTCTCATACATGATTAGGACATCCAATACAATTCTTTCTAATCCTCTACCGATTATATATCTTCTCTTTAGTATCAAGTGACTTTCAACTCTTCTCAAGTTTCATTTTTCATAGACTATAGGTGGGGTGAATTCTAAAATTCCTTATTCTGATTCTAAAATAAGTGGCACCATTTCTTTAGAATCAAGTCCATCAATTAAGTTGCCTAATCTAATGACTCTGGTTACAACACGTAATAGGTGAATGACATAATTCAAGGAGTTAAAACTAATTAGAGAAATTTGAAAGTCAAATGTTAACGTAAATGATTACTATGATTCCTATAAATTAAAATTAGTGGAGTACATATGAAAAAGTGAAAACATAAACATCAAGTAAACAGGTTTGCTTTGTTTGTCTAATCAAGCATTTATATATGAGCGTGCTATTTGGAGAAGAAATTGAAAGAGATATATCGATCGATAAACATAAATTCCTAAAATGTATTTAGTGTTTTCAGTCTTTCTCTCCATGATTGTTATTCTTAAATATAAAAAGCTAATCTAACGTACATATTTTAGCATGCTTATTATTATGAATATAGTGACATGTTATATTTCAACTTTCAACACAAAAATTATGAGAATATATGATGTGTGCCCTTGTCTGTCCACCTATTTGTAATTTTTTCTAATGTTGATGGGATTGCTTTTCCACTTTCTGCCTTATTGGTAGGATACCAAACGCTATGCTTCTCAAAAACTTAATGTTTTTGGCTGTTTCTTCATAATTATATCATTATACTTACGTGCTCATTTGGTTTAACTCATAGTCAATTTATACTACTCTATTACGATCTCCTCTCCTCACGAAATGGAGAAGAAAATATACGCCAATCACTCTTGTTGTGATAGCTAACGGCAACAAACTAAGGTTTGTATTGATCATAATGAAAAGAACTTACAAGCTGATCAAAGATCAAAAGGAAAATAGAAAAGGGAGATTCCTGATATGACAAAAGAAAATGACATAACTCATAGCATAACCTTAATGAGATAATTCAAACTCTACCATTATATGTGAATAATGATTCGCAAATAATAACTACTAGCAAAAATCAAAAGGCTAACTCTTTAAACGAAAGCTTGAGATATACGTGCAATATTCTAGGAAAATTTCGTTCCAACTTCCAATTAATTTCCTTTTTATTTTATTTAAATTTTCTGCCGTTTAATGTGACTGCCAACGTGGAAAATTCTTGCTTATTGGAATTTAATAACCTCGTACTTGTTGATTTCCTTTATGCCCTTCGAAAAATATCGACTAATGCAAGTGTGCAATTATGGTGTAAAGTTGGTCTACTAATTGGGGTTTTGGTCTATATTTGCTGCTATATATACTCCTTTCTTTTCGTGTTAAATATCTTTCTGGTATTTGAGATAAATATTTAAATTGCGAGTATGTCTCAAAAATATAAAAGTAGGGAGCTTACCACGTGAGCTAACAAGTTCACACTCATGATGACTCAACCCTTAAGATTGCAACCTTGCATTAAGTGTCTACAACTTCTTCTTTTTTACTTTAATCACGAAAACGTGAGAATGGGACCTACTAGCTATTTGCCAAGTTGCTCATAAATTATTCTTATTGAAGTCCAGATTATGTATTATAATTCTCTCCGACACTTATTTTGAGAAGAATATAGATATTTTTTGCTTTAAACGTATTTCTGTAAATTAGGTAACGTAACTAGCATAACTCAATACTATGCGTTAAACGTTAAAAATTTTGACAGATAATAATTCATTGCATAATTTTTTTATGATTATAAATTACTCTAATGTATAAATCATTACTAATTAATATCACTTGACAATCAATCTTCATTATCATAATTAGGAGTATTAGCATAACTTGAGTTATGGTGAGATGGTTTTAATCTCATAAATGGCTCCAAAATAAGTGAATTTAAATTTAATCGATTTTAATGTAAGTATCGAATATCAAATAGGAAAAAAAAACGGAGAGGTGAAGTGCATCAGTGCAAGATTTTTGTAAAAAAGAATGTAAGGTGATGGCTAGAAAACAAATGCTAACTGATTAAAAAGAGTGGTGCTATATGATGGCTGCCATGCATTATATACATGGAATTATTAAGAACGAATTATGGTCGAATGAACTACGGAAAGTGAATTTAGGCACGCACTTGTATGCACCATATTTCTTTTTCATTTTTTTTTGTCTTTTAAGAAATAAAAAATAAAAAATACCCCCAAGTGAGAAATTATTATCTATAAATTATCGATAAAATTTATAGCTAATTTTATTTTTTTTGCCTGTGTTTTAGAGCATAGAAATGGCAACGACGTAAGCCTTGTCCTTATCGCATTGGTTCCATCAGAAATTTCAGAAAGGGAGATTTCATAAGCAAACAAATTAAAACTTGTGGAATTGAACAAAGTGGTAACGCTAATATTTGAGATCCATTTATTTTTAATTAAAATTCAATCAAAAGAGCCAACTTCCTCAAGCTTTAAAAAAATGTTCATTTATGTTATCCATTAAAAATTTAGCTCTTCTATATCATTTTTTATGATAAAAGGCTCAATTATGATTTATGCAATAATCTTTTTTTACATGTCATTGATTATGATCCAGCCACCTCCCTAATTAAATTATTTTTCAAAAGAGAAAAGATTCAAACATGTCATCGAATTTTGATAAAAGACTCATTTATGTCATATGTTAATAATTTGTCACATGTATATTATTTCGATTAACAAATAGTAATAATAACATGAATGGACCTTTTTCTCAAATAAAAATGATTTATGAATCAAACTATTAACATATAAGAGTAGTACTATAATGAACTTTTTTTTCAAAGTTCAATGATATATTCAATTTTTTCTCTTAATTATAATTAAATTTCAATACAAATATCGAATACAAAAATCAAAAGAGCAAAGAGATAATAGTGAAAGAAATTAAAGGACTTTTTCCTTCCATGTCTCCCACCATCTTTTGTTGGGTCGGCCTTTCCCTAGACAAGCCTTTGTGGGTTTGTCCTGTCGATATGTACCAAATTAAATGTTTTTTTTATATAAATAATATTGCGTGCATGCGTGTTTTTGTTTTCTACCTTCTTTTTTTATTTATTTTTAGTCTTTGATTCCCATCGAACACTCTTTTTGAAAAATATGCTCTTGATAAAAAGAAGAAGAAAAAAAAGATTAAAAATATCCTTCTTCCTTGTGGTTCATTTTGCAGCCTTTTTTTCTCTTCTGGGATTCTTTAAAGTTCCTTGTACTCTTGCTTCTTGACTCTTTTCACCAATTAATATAGAATTTTTAAAAAGAAAAGTGCTTGCACGTGAGGAGTCAAATTAAATATTGCAAGTAATAATTGGATTTTATATCCAAATACATAGAGTGTTTATTATACAATTATTATTTATTTATTTAAATATTTCCTTAAGATAACAATATACCTCATGAGAGGACCTTATCATTTGATCAAATTTCAAAATCATTGATCATTATTTGGTAACCATTTGGCAAATGCATTTGTCCCGTTAAATATTATTTAGGTTTGAGGTGTGTTAAAGATGTTGTTCTTGAAATACTTCTTTCACTTAGTGTATAATATAATCTAACGTATTTATAAGAATTCTAAAAACTAGCGTGTGCAATTATACAATTAGTAAAAATAACAACTACAAGTACAATTCTTTATAAAGTGAAAAATGACTTCTTCCTAATAATGATAGACAGTTTTCAGATGTACACTAGTTTTTTCCTAACAAATTCTAGGGTAAAAACCATATGATATTTGCATATGATAATAATATATATAATCCAATTATAAGAAAATTGAAATAGTGTAATTGAGATATTTCGTATAGAAAAGATGTAATTTAACATAAAATGTACTAGTTATAACAGGTGCAGCTCTCAACCCTTTTTCCATTATGTTGTTATTGAAACATCGAGTGTAAATAAATATTTTCACGTAATATACATAATATTTGCCAACTGCATGTATATCATAAATCACAGCTTTAGAAATGGATTTGTGCCTGTAATAGCCCAATGGCCCAGTAAGTTCCGATCTTGGGCCTGATTAACAGTTATTGGGCTACTTTTGCCCCTTCCTGAGTTCTGTGCTTACAAATAGGTATAACACCAGCTTGTTGGGCCAATTTTTCCTCTTTAGTCTCCTTTACAAACTCCGACTTGTAGGCCCGTTGTTATTTTTTATACGGAAAATTATTCCAAGAGCATTTATATGTAATTTAGTAAAATAGTATGTGGTAGGGAGTGAGGGCTTGGGGATGGCATGGGTTGGGTTGGTTAATGGGTGGGATTGGAAGGCATTTGGTGATTGGGGATGATGAGACAATGTACATGAAATATCATTTATGAAATTAGCCTTCCGTAGGAAAATCAACTTTCTTATTTTTTAAGAAAGTTTTTTTTCCGTAGAAAATGTTTTTGAAAATATTTTTCATCACAACTTTAAGATTGTCATCTTATCATAATCATTCGTGTTATTCAAATACACTTTTTTTTATGTAATTAATAATATAAGGTACACAAAATAATTTATTTTACAAATATATATTTATTATTATTTAAAATAATTATAATACATACATACAAAACACGTTCAATTAGCTACTAGTATATAGAAAATTATAGTAACAATTTCTGTATGATATAAATTAACTTTTATGCATACATATTAAGTTTTAAACATGTGAAATAAAATTTGTAACTATCAACATGGCTTTTTGATGGAGTAATAAACTGCTCCAGCACACCCCAAAAATGATTTGCGATTCAAATTTATTTAATAATAGACGACATAAATTTAGTAGGAGTTATGCAACCTCGAATGAAAAAAAATAAAAATAATTAGTAATTTGTGATTATATCATCATATCCACCTTCCCCTTCACGGCTTCAGCAGCCACCCCTAATTCACGTCTCTCCGATTCTCTCTTTCTTTCTTTCTGTAATATCAACGAATACATAGTCCCCTGTTTTCCCATTCTCAATGCCATTTCGTTTCTATTGCATTTCTTCACAAAAAAAAAAAACTATTTCACGTCTAACTGATTGATGCAGCAGAAAGGTAGAAACAATAACCGTAGATCCAGGAGCTTCTCTAGATCTCGTCTTGCCATTGAGGGTTTTTAGCAATTTAGTTCTCTACCATATACTAATTCCCAATCCACATTGTCTTCTTCAACCATTCCAAATATTCACATCAGATTCCTCTATCATCAACCAACCATGGCTGCTGCTTCAGGTATGTTAGACTGTCAGTCATCTCTTATCTTACGTATTTTGTTTGAATTGGACGGTTTTGATTGTGAAATCATGTGGTGTGTAGGACAAGAGCGTGAGGTTCAAAAGAGTTATTGGATTGAACACACTGCGGAACTCACTGTCGAGGCCATGATGCTCGACTCTAAAGCAGCGGATCTCGACAAAGAAGAGAGACCTGAGGTATATGATTCACAATAGATCCATATTAGCTTAATCTCTCTTGGATATATAAATTAGTTAGAAGATCGTATTGATTAAGAATTACTCACTATTGTGCAAGTCATTTTCATTGATATTCCATTTTGGAGTATAGCCTTTTCTTTTGCCAGAAGCAAAAAAGGTAGCACAGTGCTTAATTTTGTTTCCAAGTGTTATTGGTATCAAGGTCCTACGACATATCCGTTAATATGGAATTAATGTTTGATAACCAAATACTTGTTTACTTACGGAGTTAAAATCCACACACATCTGATTCAAATTTAAAATGGTTCCATCCCACTTCAATAAGATTCAGACACAAGGGATTCTAGTTGGTGAAGACTGATAGGAAAAAAACACCAGCTCTTTTTTGGGATTTACTACAATATAGAATAATCACGGACAGTAATCTCATCGGTCCCTAGTGACTGATGGAGCTGGGACTGACAATATATACTAAATAATTAAATATTTACTATAATTGCCCCTTTAGTTATCTTCAACTCGTAATTTTCTGGGCATTTCCCAGGCGTTGTTCTATGTATATATTGTCTTTGTTGAATGCTAATGTGAAGCTGTATTGCTGATCCAGCGTTCGGTATGTAAATTAATTGGTTGTGAAATTCAGTAACTAGGGTTGAGATTCTAGTGTATAGGAGTTTTGGTCATTATTTAGACTGATGCACTACAGCCTCTCCTCTTTGGAGGTCCAAACTCCTTGTGTTCATTGAATCTGTTTCCTGCTTTGAGAAGAAATTAGCACCTTTTTGTTCTTAATTTTGTTGCAGAACCACACGTTCTAACTGGTTTGTTTTGTGAGTTGGCATGATTACATGTAAGACAATTTACCTATCTCCCCATAATTTGAAACTTTTGGATGGTCATATAGGTGCTCTCTCTGCTTCCGCCGTATGAAGGGAAAACTGTGTTGGAACTGGGTGCTGGTATTGGCCGATTCACTGGTGAATTAGCCAATAAAGCTGGTCAGCTTATAGCATTGGACTTTATTGAAGGCGCAATTAAGAAGGTTTTCAGTTGTTTTACCCTTCAGATATTTGCATTTTCTGTCTCCATCCAACATGTGCTGTCAATAAGGAGGGTTACTAGGATTAAGAAGAAAAGAAAAGAACTAGTTTAGAAGATTCATTTGTCATTTCTTCATAATTGATAAGTAATGATAAACTCATAGAATATGTTTGTGCATATCCTTATCTGTTAATGTGCTTCCTTGCAGAATGAAAACATAAACGGGTACCATAAGAATGTCAAGTTCATGTGTGCTGATGTGACTTCTCTGAATTTGAATTTTTCACCGGAATCGGTGGACTTGATATTTTCTAACTGGCTACTGATGTATCTTTCTGATGAAGAGGTAAATTCTCTCTTTTATTTGCCTCATCTTCCACATAGAAAAATCACTGTAGTTACATCTATATTCTATACAAAGAACGAATCACCAGTTAAATGTGTCAAATTTGGATATAGATGCATGCAAGACTGGCTATGAGACAGTTACTATATTAGCTAATATTCATCATGTTGGTTGGTTACTTTTGAGTATTTAAAGCATTTTCCTTTAAAAATCTATTTTAGTGGTGGTGTGGAGAGATCACGGTTAGGCAAAGCTTAAAATATACAGGCAAATAGTTAAGCTATGTTACATATACATGTTTAAACTAATTTGATTTTTCACTTAGTGACACACTAAGATCCTCAACAAAATGAAGCATTTTCTTTGCAAGAACATGATTTACAGCAGCATCGTTGAAAATAAAAACTTAATGCCATATGTATTTAACCTTTATTTCCACAATGGCTTTAGGTTGAAAACATTGCTTTCAGCCCTATATGGCAATCTATAATTTGAGCACCTCTTCGACAACTGTAATTTGAATGATATGCTGAGTGCTAAATATCAGCTTTTAATATTGTTTTTCATATGATTTACTTACCTGTAGCTATCAGCGTCCATTATGGGTGTTAGCTTACTGGTGTAACAACTGTTAGAAATATTTCTCACTCTTTATAGCTTGCTGCCAAAATGTCTATATATGAGATCTTCCTCACTCACCATACCTTTGCCTGATTTGAATTACTGTACTTTTTTGTGACTTAAACATTTGAATTTGTTTCTACCCTTGCTGCAGGTTAAGGCTCTTGTTGAGAGAATGGTTAAATGGTTGAAAGTCGGTGGTCACATATTTTTCAGAGAGTCATGCTTCCATCAATCAGGAGACCACAAGCGAAAGAACAACCCAACCCACTATCGAGACCCTAGCTTTTATACAAAGGTCTTAACTTTGCTTTCAACTGTTTTCTTGTCCCACATTATGTTATGAGAGCTGCATTTTAAAAGAAAATTTATTATATCCTTGGAATTCAATTCAACACAGTGCTGAAGTATGTTACTGTGCTTACCAACTATTTGTCTTCATGTAGTAATTTTTTCACACTTCTGTGTGTATATTCCTGTCCTTTTTTCTTTGCCGTTAAGTGGTTCTCTTTGGTAAACCCTAGATAAGGCATTTTCTTTTCTCTGGAGTTTGATTATGTTTTTCTTAAGTGATCGCCGCTCTGTCATAAAGTGCTCTGAAACTCTACCATACCAAAAAGATGAAGTGCTTTGAAACTTTATTGTGCACTCTAAATTACCACTCTTTCTATAAGATAATTTAACCAAAAAACCTTACTTTACACAATGGAAGTATGAATAGTTTGAAGCGATGCATTTGTCAGTTGTCACTTTGGGAATAACTTGAGTTGATGCGTCAATCAGTTGTCACCGGACATATAGCTGGCCCCCATTCTCAATTGTTACTAAGAAAGTATAGTAAGAGCTGAAAAATAACTGTCAAACACAGGTTTTCAGAGAATGTCACGTAAATGCTGGTGATGGAAAATCATTTGAACTTTCTCTTGCTGGTTGCAAGTGCATCGGAGCTTATGTGAAGAACAAAAAGAATCAAAATCAGGTAGAATTATGCTTACCTCATCAACCCTTTAGTTAGTTTGATATTAACCTGGCTATCTAATCACTGTTTTGTTGCTGCTTGCACCTTGCAGATTTGCTGGACATGGCAGAAGGTTGCTTCTAAGGATGACATGGAATTTCAGCGTTTCTTGGATACTGTTCAGTACAAGTGTAGTGGCATACTACGATATGAACGAGTCTTTGGACAAGGTTTTGTTAGCACAGGAGGACTTGGTATGCTTCTCAGATTGCATGTTGTCTTGTTTACTGTAGTGGGATTGTAAATACGTGTTTGACAATCTTGGGACTACCATAGGGAGATAATACAACTTTTTCATTCATCATACTAGAGACTAGATCTATGTCTAGAAACCAATCATGCATTTGGCACAAGACAAAAACGTGTTTCCATAGATGCCTTTGCGATTTAACTTAAATGGGAGAACCCAATCAACCTTTGAGTGTCCAGAGGTTCCATGAATGTCAACCCCTTGGAATTTATTGGTTCTCCAATAATGTCCTTAGACCTTAGACCTTAGACCTTAAGCCCTTACCTTATTAAAAAAATGGCCCTTAGACTCTCAAGGTTATGCTTACTAAGTTTCTTTTGTTTCACTGTAATTGTGGTGAGGACTTATGCAGAGTGTGCACTTGGTACTGTGGAGATATCTGCTTGCAAGTGTGTCTTCTCGCTTGATGCAATGTTATTTTGTTCTTTTTCAATCATTTAGTTTCTGAGCAGTACTTGTTATTGAGCAGAAACTACAAAAGAATTTGTAGCCATGTTGGATCTTCAGCCTGGCCAAAAAGTCCTTGATGTTGGCTGTGGCATTGGAGGAGGTAACTTCTACATGGCTGAAAAGTACGATGTTCACGTTGTTGGCATTGACCTGTCTATCAACATGATATCTTTTGCTCTTGAGCGTGCTATTGGTCTCAAGTGTGCTGTTGAATTTGAGGTTGCTGATTGCACCAAGAAAACATATCCTGATTGTACATTTGATGTCATATACAGTCGGGATACTATCCTTCACATCCAGGTAATTCACCTGAGCTTCTAAATCTTTTCTTTATTCTACTTTTCATTCCACTTGGTTCTTTCTTCAATTGCTATACCACGTACTTAATTGCAATTTCTGTGGTAAAAGTTGTCCTTTCTGTATGTATTCTTCTGCAGTCAACGTTGGCACAGTGTCATGTCATCTCATCTTCTTGGTCATCTTACAACTCCTCTGAAATCAATTTATTTTGCTCATTTTGTTTTTATCTTTCGTGATGGAAGGGCTTTGCACCACCCAAATTATCCCTCACTTTTTTCCTTTAACCGTTCACTGTTGAAGTCAATATCTTTATAATGTGTTGTTTCATGGTTTATTTATTTGTTGTTTCAACGGTGTGATGTCAGGACAAACCCACACTGTTCAGATCTTTCTACAAGTGGCTGAGACCAGGAGGCAAAGTTCTTATAAGTGATTACTGCAAAAGAGCTGGACCAGCATCAAAAGAATTCGAAGGTTATATTAAGCAAAGGGGGTATGATTTACATGATGTTGAAGCATATGGGCAGGTATATACTCATTCCATGTAGCAGGCCCTCTCCTCTTTTTTGCCTCGTGTTTATTGTTTGACTGCTTCTTTGAATTTTACTTGTGCCGACCATATAGATGCTCAGAGATGCGGGTTTTCATGAAGTTGTGGCCAAGGATCGTACTGAACAGGTATGTAATTTACAGATCTTGTCTTAAACTGATCTGCAAGGCTAGCAATATATTGATACAGACCTAATTTCTGCACTTGCATTGCAGTTCATTGAGGTTCTGCAAAAGGAGTTAGATACTGTGGAGAAGGAAAGAGAGTCCTTTATCCATGAGTTCTCTGAAGTGAGTGCTTCATTATATGATACACTTTGTAATTTGTATCTTTTAATTTTTCTCATCTTTTGTGGATTGATTTTCTTCTTTTTCTTATTTTAAAATATTACAGCAAGACTATAATGAAATAGTTGGAGGTTGGAAGGCTAAGTTAATCAGGAGTTCATCTGGCGAGCAGAGGTGGGGCTTGTTCATTGCCAAGAAGAAATGATTTATCCAAACGTGTGGTAGATCCATTTCCATTTATGTTCCAGAGTATGAACATTTCTTCCAGTTCTATGTAATAATTGTTTTACCTGCGATTTAGGGATAAAAAATATTACTAGTATACTGCTTCCCTCATCTTGGACGAATTTGTTCTTCATTTGCTATAATTCTGCCTCAGATTTTGATGCATGTCGCATCCTTAATGAGTTTCATATTTCGTGATATGTTGTGCATTTGTTCTGTCACACCATATTTAACTAGTGTAGTGTGAGTTAGGAATTGTCGGCTTTCTGTATGCGTGCCTGTTGATCATTCAACTAATAATTATTATCTTACAAAACCACTTTTCATGTTAGTTTAAAGTTATTGATAGTGTTGCAAACCTCCCCTTCCTTTAACATTAAGAAAGAGAGGATGGAGAAGTAATTATCATGTGACATATCCAATTCATCTAGAAGGAAATTTTTGCAGAAAGTTGTGTACTCACTATTAGTTTTGAATTAAACATTATGCGAGTGAGATTCATGACACACAAACTTAAGAAGTGTCTTCAACATATATTAGGTAAATTTTGCAATTAAATTCTACTAACTAGAGTAGAATCCTTTTAGTATAAAGTCAGGACAAGAATACAATACGTTGTGTTCTTGCCACTGACGCCTTTTAAATGAACAAAAGTAGTAAACAGATAAGAGGTTCACAGTATCAGAAATGCATAAACACAGTACAAATATAGTAGAGAAACATAAATTTAATGGAGTTTCAGGTTCACTGCAGCACGTAACATACGTAATAGCAGATTGGTCGAACACCTTTAATCTTCTCCAGTTTCATCTTCATAATCACTGTTTTCTTCAGCTGTGGCATCTTGATACTGTTGATACTCCGCCACAAGATCATTCATATTACTCTCTGCTTCAGTAAATTCCATTTCATCCATCCCTTCTCCAGTGTACCAATGCAAAAATGCCTTTCTCCTAAACATTGCAGTGAACTGCTCACTTACTCTCCTAAACATTTCTTGAATTGAAGTTGAATTTCCAATAAAAGTTGAAGACATCGAAAGCCCTCTAGGTGGTATGTCACAAACACTGGATTTAACATTGTTCGGAATCCATTCCACAAAATACGAAGAGTTCTTGTTCTGCACATTCATCATTTGCTCATCAACTTCTTTTGTGCTCATTTTGCCTCTAAACAATGCTGAGGCTGTGAGGTAACGACCGTGTCTTGGATCAGCAGCACACATCATGTTCTTGGAATCCCACATTTGTTGTGTCAGTTCAGGGACTGTAAGTGCTCGATATTGCTGAGATCCTCTTGATGTTAGAGGCGCGAATCCAACCATAAAAAAATGAAGCCTTGGGAAAGGGATTAAGTTCACAGCTAGTTTTCGAAGATCAGAATTCAGCTGGCCAGGGAATCGCAGGCAACATGTCACACCACTCATTGTTGCTGAAATCAGATGATTCAGGTCTCCAACTGATCACAACAATAAAACAGATGAATTAGAACAAACTTTTTTCTTCCGTAACAGTAAAGTCACAATATCTTTTTTCATATTAAAATAACTGAACTTTACTCACTATAACCATAAAGAAAGGCAACTCGACCCACTAGAAGTCACCTTGACGGATAGACTTTGTCGTAAAAGTAAAGTTACTTAATTGTGACAAAAAATAGTTTTGTTACTTTACTGTTATATTGGATTAAGTTCAATGACCAGAGATTAATCATGCTGATAAAAGTATTAGTAGATGTTTTGGTTGTTCTTACAACTTGGTGTGGAGAGTTTGAGAGTCCTGAAGCAGATGTCATAGAGAGCTTCATTATCAAGAACCATACACTCATCAGCATTTTCAACCAGTTGATGGACTGAAAGTGTAGCATTGTAAGGCTCAACCACTGTGTCTGAGACTTTTGGTGATGGGAAAACAGAGAAGGTAAGCATCATTCTGTCTGGATATTCTTCTCTGATCTTTGATATCAACAGTGTTCCCATTCCTGATCCTGTCCCTCCTCCAAGTGAGTGACACACCTGAAATCCTGTATTCATATTTTCGCGTTATCATAAAAATAACATATTCCCTCTATGAAACAAGAAGTTGATTTTCTAAGAGAAAAAGTTCAAATTTACTCTTCTACTATCTTGATTTTACTTTCCATACTATTTCGTATGGAAAGTACTAGTATGGGTTATGTGGATCCACGAGTCAAAATAAATTTAAAATACTTGTTTTATTATTAACCTTGTAAGCAATCGGAGTTTTCAGCTTCTTTTCGAACAACATCAAGAACAGAGTCAATAAGTTCAGCACCCTCAGTATAATGTCCTTTAGCCCAATTATTTCCAGCACCAGATTGTCCAAAAACATAGTTATCAGGGCGAAAAATTTGTCCGAAAGGACCTGATTTGATGCTGTCCATAGTACCAGGTTCAAGGTCCATGAGAACTGCCCGTGGCACGTAACGTCCATTTCCAGTTTCATTGTAATAAACATTAACTCTTTCAAGCTGCAATTCTGAATCTCCACAGTATTTTCCAGTTGGATCAATCCCGTGTTCGTCACATACAACTTCCCAGAATTTTGATCCTATTTGATTCCCACATTGTCCTGCTTGAATATGAAGAATCTCACGCATTTTCAAAGTTTCTTTTTTTTTTTTTTTTTTACACAAGTTTTGAATTAATATTGAGGATGTTATATAAGGTAAGGTATATATATATATATATACAAATAATGATTTGTTTGATCCAACGGTTAAGAAGTGTCCGTCCTGTTGAAATATAACAATGGATATTTTGTGGGTGGCCTCTCATGATCAAAGTTTGCCATTTGTGCCTCTTTCTCTTGAGATGTGCCGTCCTTTCCTAATATATATATATATATATATAATTTGGTATTAGAATTTATGTGTTTTAGTTTGATTGAATATATAGTTTAAGAAATATGAAAAGACTTTGTAATGTTTTAAAATTAGGCTAAAACAAATGATTTTTTAAATCAAAGATACCTCTGTAGACACATAGTTTGATTAATCAAAATTCACACCAAATTAAATGTTCCCTGCAAATTGAAAATCTTTAGTTAAAAATAGAAGGATTCTATCTTATTTCTATGATAATGAAAGTTTAATTTATTAGTGGTGCTTTAATAATTATGTCAATAAATAAGTAAGTAGGTATGCCGCTTTACTCTTTTATTATTTATTTAGACCGACTCTTAAACTCTTTTCTTGGAACTGTTTTAGATAATAATTATGCCCAATGAATGAACAAGTTGATCCACGAAGGTAATACTGCAATACCAGAACAAGTTATATAACATTTAAAATTTAAGGAAATTAAGCAAATGACTATTTTTAAATCACAGATTAAAAATAGTTATTTGTTGCTACCAAAGATGGACATGGAAAATTATGATATTCGGGCTCGATGTCATTGAAGGGACAATTTTCCTGGGCCTAGAAATATTTAGGCCCAAATGAAAGAACAGTGCACTCTGCCACTAACTGCCTGATATAGTTGAATTTGGGCCTTAGGTATTCGGTACATTGGACTGGACCACACTTTCATGAGGGTCCATTAAGCTGTTAGGTGGCCCAAATTACTGCTTGTTACACCAAGCTCTTACAAGTGTTAATTAAAGAAAGACTGGTCCTCTAATCTTGGGTTGAGAAAGATTCAAAATTTATATATATACCTGAAAAAGCAAAAAATAAAATAAAATTACCGTTCTTATATACAATGTAATTTTTTGCAGTAGAATTTGGATGAACACCCTCACGCCCCGTAGATCTGCCTTTTTGCTCATAGATGTCAGGGAATTAGTTTTGCAAATATTTCATCGAGACATTTTGAGGAAATAAATTGAGATCAAGTAGAATTGATCAATTCTACATCTTCTCTTAGCATTCAACTAAACCAATGTACGTACCAAGACGACTCCATATTGGTAAAAGGGCATTACATATCGTTTGTTTATTACTTCATCTGTTTCATTTTATATGACTTGCTTTCTTTTTTAGTCTGTCAAAAAAAGAATGACACATTTCTATATTAAGTAATAGTTTAACTTTAAAATGTCCATTTTATCCTTGATGAAATGATTTACAGCGATACAAATTTCTATCATTCATTTTAGACCACAAGTTTTAAAAGTCTTCCTTCCTTTCTTAAACTCCATGTCGAGTCAAACTACCTCATATAAAATGGGACGGAGGAAGTATTATTTTTCCGTCAATTTTCATATATAGTAAGAGTGCTACAAATAAGATGAGTAATAGTATGCGATAATATATACGTAGAGTCTAAATAGGATAATATGTACGTGATTTTACCATTATCTCGTGAAAAAAATAAAATAGAAGGGTGGGGTGGGGTTGAATGGACCAGGTAGGAATGAGGGTGTGCAGTGGTCTATCGTTTTCATATTATGTGGTGGTGGCATTCTTTCATTTAACATTCTTACAGCTATATATTAGCTAGGGTTTTGTAGAGAGAGAAAGTGAGACAGAATGAGTACTCACATGATGATCTCATGATATATAAGGACCCCCAAATTCAGTAGAGAGAGAAAGAAAGAAAGACAAGACGTGATCACTTATTTAAACTACAATAGAGAAACTTCTGCATCCTTTTGCCTGCCTTATTTATGCCTTTGACAGTTGCCCCCTTTGTATTGTCCCTCTCCCAATCAGTTTTGTATCTTTCCTCCATTTATTATTTAATTCACCCACATCAGTCGTTTTATATGAGGTATAACATTACCGTAAAATGCAGGACTATTTCATCCTACATTTTTCAGATATTAGACAGTCATGAGAACATGGTGAAATAGATTATAATTTTCTTTTATATATTGATAGTGTACACGATAAGGCCGGTGGTGGAGTGGGAGAATTATGGTCTTTCCACTCGGCCCTTGACTAATTAAGAGACTTGGGGTTTGAGCCTAGGGTATAGGGAAACAAAAATAATACACAAACGTGTATTTAAATTAGTTGAAGTTCGAATACAGACATCAAAAACTTACTTGAACCAAAAATTGCATTGTTAATGTAATGAATGAATTTTCAAGTAGGCCCAAAAAAATTTGCAATATATAGGTTAAATAATTAATATAATTGTCAAGTTTGACTCAACCCAGGACGAATGTTGACTTCAAATTACGTGTTCAATAGTACTCAGTAGCTAGTTTTTGATTCAAACCCTAATAATATTGCATGTTATGAAATTTACTTAGAGAATGTACAAAAAGTAAATTTAGTACAATGTTGTTGTGCTTAAGTGAACATGAAATTTAGGGTTGTAGAAAGTACCTAGGAAAATGAACAATCCGCGTGGCTAAGGAAATTATTTATAGAAAAAACTTAGGATTAGCACAAATATATTCAAACAAAGCAAAAGAAGATTATGATACAATAGAATAAAAAATATTACTATGTAAAAACTATATAGTAATATGATTTGTGGACAAAAAAGATTTGGAAGTCACTTTTTGAAGAAAAGATAGAGCACTTTTTTATCCAAGTCAAGGTAAAAAGTTAAGAGTAAGAAGAAGGCAAAAAGTACAATTTGGCATGGACAAGATTCTCCTGCAACACTCTTTTTATTTGTTAGTTTATATTTTTGCAGTTGTAAATGTATATCTTCTGTAACAGCTTCCATATAGACAGATTTGTGTCCTTTGCCTGAAATATGATTAGCATGAACATACATAGATATATGATGAATCAAAGTCTTCTATACAATTTATTTAGTACTAAAAAAAGTTATCAGAGAAAAAGGAATCAAATCTCTATAAGTTTACGAAACTGATTGCATCTTTCAAAAATAATTCAGTTACTATTCATACATTTTACATCTTTGAAATAAGCTTTCGTTTGAACAAAGATTTTGAAATTCATTTTTTACAAAAAAATAAATTGAAATAAATATTTGGCTGTAGATTTCATTTAATTTTTGGGAGATTTTGAAAACGTTGAGAGAATATAAATGGTAGCTAATATCAAGTTAAAAGACACAATTATTTGTTTTGATGCGTTTTTCTCCAATACTATAATTACAAGTTTACAACTACATTATGAAATAGAAAATTCAAAGATTATTCATTTGTTGATTAGTGATCTTATCCTAAAATAGTGTTGATCATTCAACATTAATTTTATCTTCTTTTAATTATAACTAGTAAGGGAAAATCATGCGGTACAAGGACCCAATATTTATTCATAATTTTTATTCTAAAGAAAAATTATATATATTTGTATGGTAAATTGTGAATCATCTCATCAAGTGTAAAATTATAACCTGATAAATATTATTAATATTGGTAAATTTTAAATTGTATTAATTCATTGATTTTAATTTTTTGTTCAACAATAAATTATATACATTTGTGTAGTATTAAAATATTTCATTCTTTTTTTCTCGAAAACCTATAGTGAGGGGGCTCATTGGGATATCCATAACTGAAGTATTTTTCTTCATCGATCGTACTTTTTTATTCTAAGAAATTGCAGATTAAAAATTTACACTAATAGCAACAAAACATTCAAAATAATAAAACTATAATTTTAAAAAATGAATTTAAAAATTAAAAATACAACTAATTAAAAGGGATCCCAAAATTTCAAAGAAACTATACACTAATTAATTTATTTATTAAAAACTTTCCTTCTTCAAAAAAAGAGTTGTGGCTGAAGTACACACATCGACAAAAACGTACCTGCTTCAACTCAACAAAATTTCCCCCTTGTGGAGGTTGGGTATGATACTGAAATAAAAGGTTAAAAATTTCTGATTAAAAAGCATATAGGACTCCTCATATTTAAGTAACCAATGAATTTGAAAGTACTCAAGTATATGTATTCTTATTGTTTGACTAATTTTCCTTAAATTAGACATTTAAAACTTAATTCACAGATCCTTTGCTTCTCTACAAATTCATTGAAAATGTTAAGCAACATGCATGAATAATTATCATGGTTATGAGTTTCATCCCACGTTAATTAATAGGGTGGAAAATTACATTGATGTATGAAAATACAAAAGACGTTTATGGGGAGTATTAAATCCAATTAAACCCAAATACTGCTTTTTATCGAAGCAAATTTAGATTAATCGAAGAAAAATTATTTTGGTACAAATCATAGGATGATCGGAACCCACCGACTTGTCTTGTACGAGTTCATGCCCTACTGTAGGGTAATTATAATTGGGCTTGCTTCCTCTTGACTAGTCTCTCTCACCTAATATTTTATCTTTGTGTTAAAAAAAAATATATACCTAGTTTATGATTATTTCATTAACTAAAATTTGTTTATGCATTACCCTAAATTTCCAAGCTAAAAATTTCACTTAATATAAAGGTCGTATGCAAATTGCAATTAGGATATAGCTCAGTTGACGAACTGTCTATAGACTCTACACCTCCACCTCCAAAAAAGCAAAGTCGCACACATTTCCTTACTTGCAGATCATAGTCCTCCCTTAATTAGGCCTTACTTTGCCCCAGCTAGGTGAATAGCATCATCCTCACGCAACAAATTGCATTAACAATTCCCTTCTATTAATTATCTTCTTATTATTTTTTGTTGCATATTGAGATATGTTCGGTGTTCAATATACTTCATCATGTCGATCAATAAATCTTTCCTATGGCCAAAAGATCACTATTGAACATGTTGGTAGTCAACTCAAAAAATTCTATGATATTGCAATTAATTCATCGGACTGCTTGTTATATCATGATCGGACAGACTTTCCCTTAGAAATGTTTATCATGAAAGCGAGTTTGGCTAATGCATCCGTGAACTTCTTTTTTTATTTTCTTGTATACAAGAAAGAGGAAATGCACGTGTGAGACTTTTTAAATGAAATTTTATCTTTTGTTAAAATTTAGACTCTCATCAAAATTATCAAGTACACAATGAACTAGAGATAAAACAGATTACCACTACCCATATTCACATCCCACCAACCCACAAAAAGGAATAAAAAAAAGAAGAAGAGGAAATTAAAACAGTAGTACTGATGATATGCTGATCAACTCAAATAATTGAAAAAGAGTACATATGCATAGTATATATGAAAGCATGGTATTGTGTGAATACATGATGGTACAAAGAGTTCATAAGCTACAAACACACTCACAAAACCACACTACGTAGTACTATATTATCCGTCATGCCTCATCGATTCTAATAATGTATGGTCCACGTATGTAGAAAAAGTCAAAAAAGTTATTTTACCAAACATAAAAATAAAAAAAAATAAAAAAGTGAGCAATAATTCAGTGTAGGCAATAAAATCCAGAGTGTTGTCTCCTTTAATTTCCAAGGAAATTCACGAATTGTCTTAGACAACAAAAAGGTACTAACCACTGCTGCCAAACAAGAATTATAAATACAACCAAAGAAAATAGGACCACAATCAAAGATGTGGTGCGATTGATGAAGTTATTCCTATCAGAGATCTCGAGTTTAATTTTTAGGTATAAAAAAATTCTTAGCAGAAAATGCTTTCTTCGATGAGTTCCTATGTGATGCGAATCCAAATTAAGTAGACTCCAATGTAAGCATCGGATATGAGGGAACCCCAACAAAAAATAGGACTTAAAAAACAAAAACCCTAGCCTGGAACAAACCTTACAGGCTTTAAATTTTGCCTTTTTTCTTTCTCTTCATTGTTATCAGTTTGAGTTTAATTCAAAATTTATCCCTCTCATTCATTCTGATTGTATAATTGATAGTAATTCTTTTTGTCAAAGTGTACATGTAATTGCCCTTCTGATTTCTTTTTAATAGTACTGTGAATCTGCATGTACGTGTCAACTTCTTCTTAATTAACTGTTATTTCTAACTTTGTCTAGAAAGCAATTACACCTATTTATTGGAAAACATGGCGCTACCTCTTAAAAGGTACGTGGAAATTAGAAAATGTAATTGAGAAAATTGAACTCCTATTTAACTCGACTTCAAAAGTTAACTTATGGTGTAAGAAACAATAATTTATAATTATATATTTATAATCTACGCTCCCACCTCGTTTAAATTAAGTCATCGATCATATCATGTAAAAGTTTAAGCCGTTAAAAAGTACACATTTTTTTACATGTAAGCATGGACTAACATCCCTTCTATAAAGTGAATTGCATAATTTTTGAGCTAATATTCGGTAGATTATTAAAGAATAAGATGTGTCTAGTAATTTTATCATTTTAAGAAAACGAAAGTTTAGCCAACTCAACAAAGCTATCTTTAAGTACGACTAGGGTCTTCAAAAATCATATAAGGATATTGTAGTATACGTTCATATTAATAATAATTGATACTGACCTAATTAACTTGAGATAAATGTGTTAATTGGTCTCCCAGATCCCACCCCCCAATTAAGTTAAGAAAAGACAAGTTCACATATTCACATTTCTTAATAAACTGAAGCATAAAGTAAAGTGTTTCTTTATAATTAATCAGTAGATGTAGACACAACATATCCTATTCTATATATGTCAACTTGAGAGGACTGTAAAATTATTACTATTAATGTCCGAATCATGACTTCAAAATCCTAATCTCTCATCCATATTTTAATTTTCAACATCTTTGAGTTATCAGACTCAAGATCAACAGAGAGATTAAATTTATAAGAGTACGTAAAATAATTTTATGGATAAACAAGAGAAATATAAGAAGTTCCAAGATCTTGTCTTGATCCAATGTGTGATCTTTATCACCCACCTCTCACATCCGGACTGAATCGTGCATAATCATAAGCTGGGAATATATAGAGACTGCACCGTCCAGGGGGGTCCACATCAAACCCAATAATTCTGACTTTGATATCATGTAAAATTTCGTATTTGAATTTAAATCACACCATGCTATATTTCAAATAGGGAGGATTCCCAAGCCTAAGGAGTCCGGAGATCTTGTCCTTGTCCAATGCCAGTAAAAATATTTGACGGATGCAACAACATGGTCCAAATGCATTTTAAGGCAAACTTTGATTTCAATAAACGTTACATCGCATTGAACAACATCATTGCTATAGATAATAATAATAATAGGGGGTGGAAATCCCATCATAAATTTCAAGTTACATAAATAGTCAACATCTAATTACTCATGTCTAGGTATCCTTCAGTTTTTGAGTGGAAGGAACTCAAAAAACTGATAATGACTACCGCTAAAATTATTATTCAAGTTCGCAGCGGCCCCAATTTCATCCTTGTCTGAAAAATTATTTTCATCATTGTTGTCATTGCTGCTGCGGAGGGGAAATAATTCAAGGGTCTGTGCTTCATGACCATGGCCTTCTTCATCGTCTCCGATGATGTTTTCGTGTTTTTGATCACATCTGAAAGGTGCAATAAAGATGTTTAGATGATCTTTGGGCTTGAAAAGTTGTTTTGTCTGATGGTCAATTGTTCTTGGCGTTGATGGACAACTCCTTATAATTGGAGTACAAATTGTTCCAAAATTGGTGTTGTTGTTGTTGTTGTTGGTGGTGGGTGGTGAACAAGACAAATGCATCATCTGCCACGTGGCATTCCTTTCTGCTAATAGGCTCCTTCTTTGGTCTCCTTCATCGAATGGTATCCATCTTTCTGCTGCTGCTACTCTACATGATTCTGCCACTCCTGCTGCTGTTGCTCCTGCCACTGTTGCTGCTGCCTTTGTTTTTGCTGCAGTTTTCTGCATCAATATTTATTGCAATATTTCAAAAAGATTATCAACTATTCCATGCAACTAGATATGAAAAAAGTAACAACCCTATTTTGACCATTGTTCATCATAGCTAGGCACATAGTATACAAATTTGATTTGATAGAGCATATACCTAAGCCTAAATGGAAAGTCAAATTTCACGGAAGAGGTTATGCAAACGTCTTTTCGTGATATGACTACAGAAATCGGATCATGGGTGCCCATATCCATCACTTTTTTTTAATGAAATCCAAATTAGCACAAAATCCCAAAACCCTATTTCTCATAGACTCAGTACAGCTTTTAAACAACTTTTATATTTTCCAAGAAATAATGTTTTGATTACTCTATTTTATTTTTACAAATCATAACAACATAATGACATGTTTAGAGAATGTTAATTTGCTTTTTGGTTATGAAAAAGAGAATGGAAGAGTCTAAGGAAAGAGAAAAGTGAAAAAAAATAGAGGAAGGAATGAGGGGAGGGAGGACCTCTGCAAGAGTACTGCAGTTTGTTGGGGATGGCCAGTGCTTGGTCTGTTCAATTTCAAAAACTGTCCTATTTGCCCCTGCGAGGACAAACACAAAAACAAAAAATAAGAGTAAAGAAACTTTTTCATCTCTAATAAGCAACAATCGGAATGGAAGAAAAAGCATATCTCAAATCCTAACACAGAATGCAACTTTACAATACATCTTTGAATAACAACAAAAAATACAAAGTGGTCATAGCAAGAGAAAAAATATAAGAAAGAGAATATTTAGTGTATCATCACACACTATCAAACAAATTTCTCTCTTTCATGTATCATTCTCATCGCATGTCGCCTTTTGTTAACTTGCATGCTCATGTACTTCTCACGCTACAATTCTGATGAATTCCCTCAGAAAAAAAAAATATAATTCAAAGCATAATATTCCCTTCGTCACAATTTATGTGATAAAAATTATCACACAGAAATATAATTAAAATAATTTTTTTTTGAGTTCAATCCATGTTTACGGACAGTTCCAAACTGAACCCCTTTCAACGGAAAATTACAAGTAGAAATTGTTGAAAACTGTACCTGATTCTTTTCTTTCGGTATTTTCAGCGTTACAAATACTCTGAGACTGATCATCACCACCACCACCATTACCGTTACCATTAGCAGAAGATTCAAGTTGACGGCGTCGTTTTTGGCGTTCCCTAGCCTTATGATTTTGAAACCAGTAGAAAACATTTTTCCCTTCAATTTTCCCATAACGTCGAAGTTGAGCAGTGATGTGCTGAATCTGTTCAGCTGACGGAGTTCTCGTGCCGCGTCGATACAACTCTTCCAGCGTTTGCAGTTGTTCTGGAGTTGGATTCCAACGTGAGCTCACTACTAATTGCGTATTGAAATCTCTCTTATTTTGCTCACTCATAGCTGCGTCCAAAAAAATAAAAAAATCACAGACCAATAAATTAAAAATGCATGGATAGTCGTTAGATCTGTCGATAAATTGAGTTTTGTGTGTACGAAGTATCAGTGTCACGCATGCAGTAAAGGAAAGGAAAGGCAAAAAAGAGAAAAAGTAGAAAGACATCTCTATATACAAAGAGGAAAAAAAAAAATTACCAAGCTGATGATGATTAAGTGCAATAAAGTTTTCTCCATGAAAATTTCTTAAGCAATTACTTGGATTAGTAGCAGTAGCCGTAGGAGCATGAGGTACTCTTGGCATTAATGGACGAAGCTTTCTTCCATTAAACGAATCCGGCATGTTAAAATCTCCTCCGTCGTTGTAACCCATCATCCACATTTCTTTTGCGTCTAGAGAAATATTTGATTACCTAAAAAGGAAACAACTGAGATGATTTTTGTTTTTGAGTAAGATCAAGGCAATTAGTTGTTCCTTCAAGGTTAAAAGTAAGAAAAGGGCATAATGTTTGGTAATGGTTTTAATAATAAAAAAAAAGAAAGTAAAAGAGAGGGGAATAAGGAAGAGAATGAAATGGGGTGACTTTTAAGGGAGCTGAACACAAGGAATTTGGCAAGTTTCAGGAGAAAGAGATGGAACAATAGAGACAGAAAGAGAGAGAGAAGGGAATTAAGACAGAGAAAAAAGAAAAAGAAATAGTGTTGGTTTATATTAAAACAAAAGTCATGAGCAAAACATGAGGTTGACTGGCTTAATAAATTAATATTTAGGAATAGGTTAGTAGGATAGAGTATAGGGAGGATATAATATGTATCAATTGTGTAGGAGACAAATTAGACAGAGAGGAAAGAGAGAATTGAAGAAAAGCAAAATGGATGGAAGAGAAAAGGGAAAAAGGGGAATAGAGAATTTAGAGAATGAAACAAAAAGAAAGAAAGAGAATTGTAGAAGAAGGCGTGGAATTCTGGGAGAAGAAGAAGATCGAGGAGGAGGAGGAGGAAGAGAGATTATCGATAAATGTGAATGAAAAACGACGTGACGATGATGAGGGTTATGATAAGCTCCTCATCACTTACCCCTCATTTATTGTTCTTCTTTTGTCCTCTCCCTTTCACACTTATTCTCAATCCGAACTGCCTCCTTCCCCCCTCCCCCTCCCCCAAAACATTAATCAACACTTTTTTACTCAACTTAATTTGTTATAACCATGTTTCTTTACAATACGTAATGGATTATTGGTTATCGATATTGAATTATTCGTTTTTAATGATTGAGGTAATACATTAAAAAAATTCTTTAATTTGGCACGAAAACTTACTTTAGTACTTAAATTATACGGGTCTTCAAATACCCCTTATTTATTTGAAGTGAATTATTTTCAACCCTCCAAACAACAGCGCGTTATTTACCTGTTAACTTTTAAAAAAAATTAAATTTACCCCTCCAAAGGTAATATCCGACCCATGACCCATTTGAAGAAGAATCTTCAAATTCAAAGAACCCTAATTTCCTCTTCTCACTCACCAATTTAATCATCCAAAAATGGGGACCTAATTTATTATCTTTTTCTTGATTCATCTCAAATCTTAGCTCTTCAAACCTAAAAGTTGAATCTTTGAAGGAATAATTGTTCTTCGAAAGGTAAAATTCAAACTTATTCTTCTTCATCTATTATTTTGAAAAGATTAAAAAAAATTAAACTTGACGAAAACCCTAAACTCAATCAAATGCTACAACCATCCAAACGAAGATTACTAACCTGGTAACTTTATTTTCGCCGAGAAACACCACAAATTCGAAAAGCAAATCCTTCAAAGAATGAGAATGGGGGTTGGAGATTTAGGGATATTTGTTTAGAAATGGGTCGGGTTCTTTTTTGGGAACGAGTGAATTATATAAAACTGGTAAGATATTTATAAAAACTTTGCGACGTGGACAAATGAAAACGGGCGAGCATAACAATGCCCCAGCCTTCAACTCGGCAGGTGTTTGGAGGGTTGAAAATAATTCACTTCAAATATGTTAAGGAGGTATTTAAACACTCGTGTAGTTTTAAGTACTAAAGTAAGTTCTCGTGCCAAGTTCAGGCGGGTTTTTATGTGTTTTCTCTTAATGGTTTGACGTTTTTTTCTATAAATAGATAGTAAATTGATAAATTATATTTATATCATTTGGTATATCTAAAGTTCTTGACTTAGTATTTAGTTTCATACTTTATTTTTCACTGTCTCAAATTTTCGATTATTCTACAAACTGTTAGTATTTAATTATGAGCAAGATGTGTAATAGTCAACTTATTTCATTTGGTTTGTCACCTTGTTTTCTAAGTGATTTTTCAATGACTTTTATGTGAAATCTTAATGGTTATATTAATAACCAAGTCGATAACGATTAACAAATGATAATCGATAAAATGATATCTTAATAATTCTATAACAATTTAACATGTCTACAAATCAAAAAAACTAATCTATGAAAGGTTTTAATTCTATAGCAGTTTAGCATGTCTATAAATCGATAAACCGATACTTAATAATTCCATAGCAGTTTAGCCTGTCTACAAATCGATAATCGATAAACTTCATCAAAATAAAACTGAGCCGTCCAATAGACAATCTTACTTATCATAACATCCAAATTATCATGTGATAATATATATTTATTGCTCCCTCTCTCCCGATTTATATTCTACATTTGACTTGATAAACTTTTGAAACTTTTATAAAGCATTTTATTAAGAGTAAAAAGAAATCTTTAAGTTAAATTATTTCTAATTATAGAAATGTGACATTCCTTCGAGGACAAACTTAAAAAAATTTATTAAAAAAACAGTGTCGCATAAATTCTTCTTTAAATTTATCATAAAATAAAATTTTATTTAGATACTTAAATTATACTATTGTATTTTTAATTGACCCAGGGATTGCCTCAGGGAAGAGGTTAGTCCCTGGAAAAGCCATCTCGATTGATATCATTCAAATTTGAATATAGACCCGATTGAAGCATAAAAATGAATAATAATAATGAAAGGCTTTTGTCCGTTGATGGTCATCTTATATGTGTCTCCTACACTACGCTCTCAATTGAAACAATCGCTTTGTCCTGATTTATTGAAGAGGTGCCCTTTAGAACACATGATAATCAGAATATTTTATTAGATATTTTTATTTCAATTTTTTTTAAAAACTTTTGCTTTTATTCTTAAAAAGCTCATTTTTTTTTTATTATTATTATTATATGCCTTTGTCTTGTCTGAGTGAGGAGCCATGAAGCCTCGGTCTTGTTTCAATTAAATCTGATGTGAAACTACACCGCCGGTAACAGGGAGCAATTAATAGAGTGGTATGTTAACTTGCAAGGAAAATGACTGTTTTGTACTGATCCTTAATTGAGACTGTGTCATTAATTAAATATTCCGTGAATCTGATTCCTCTTCATTTCTCTCTTTTTTTATTTTCTCCAAGTTCTTGTTTGGATTGAAGACGCATTACATGGGTGAAAATTAATGGCTAAAATTTAATTGATTAAAATGAAATTCTAATTACAATTTATAACATTTCACGAAAGTCCCACATGTCCCAATTTATTTGTTTTGGCTTTTTCATTTGATATTAGTATCGAAGTCGGATTAAATTTGAATTCGCGCCAGAAAATGCTCAAAAAGAGCTTCTTCATGATATGCGGGAACTCAAATCTAAAACTTCTCATTAAGAATAAAGAAGTATTTATCATTCTATCACAACCTTCATCGGTGTCAATGTTCCAATTGGAATTCAACTTCATGCATTTCTCTTGTAATAATAAAATAGTATTAGCTAGCCGGCCACATGATTCCAAATTTCCAATGTTGTTCAGTACAACTCCTTCCCCACCCTGTATCCACCTGCATGGCCATTATTATGAAATGATATGAGCATATCCATATACAATATATATATATTTTTATATATAAAGTTCTATTTAATAACTACTATTAAATGGAGTGTGAGCAGTAAGTATTCTGTATCGTCATGAAAAATCAGTATCGAGCAAACTGTTTGCAGAATTTGTAATTTATTAAAATAACCACTGATTTTTTGCATGCCCAAAAAGAGTCAACCTCTATAGCTCTGAATATTTCATGTTTACTAACATAGCTTGTACAGTCCTAGGCTATACATAAACATGTCTCTAGCTACTACTCACTTTTTTTTTTCTTCCCCTTTCCCAAAGCACAAACTAAATTTTCATTCCCCATAGGCTAGCTAGTAAAAAATATATATTATACTATAATTTTCTTCTTCTTTTATTTGTTAAAAGGGGTTCAGAAATGGTTTGATTGTCCTTGGACTAGCCACAACAAAAGAAAAGAGGAAAGAGATTGGATAGTTGATAACAAATTCTGGTGGAGTTGTAAATATTCTTTCATTCTTAATTAGTAATGGTAAATTTAACGTTGTGTTTGAATCTAACGGTCTTTCTTCACTCTCTTCTTCATTTCAAATAATTTTTTTACCAAATACAAGAAAATATTGAATACTTGCTACTCAATTTGATAATATTCTTATATTTTTTTATTTTTTTATTTATTTTTTTCGAATTAATACCGTTAAACTCTAGATGGGGTGTCTAGCGGCCTTTCTTTAAAAATAAAGGACAAATATCTACTACTAATTAATATTATTACTATTGTATCATATCGTTACTATACCTCTAATGTTTGTTTTGATTGTTACTTAAAATATATTGTATTGTACGGTTAAATTTCGTTGTTACATAATAATGAAAATCTCTATTTTATGGAACAACCGATTTGGTGTGTTCCCATTGTTACTTAATTTCTTTTTTCAATTATACCTTTACATAATATTTCAAAATACTATTTTACCCTTTACCTTATATTATTTCATTCTAATCAAACCTCCTACCCTAGAATAATTAAGGATATTTTAGTAAATTTATAAATTACAATATAGTACGATACAATCAAACCAAACAATTAAAATGTTATTAAACAATAACAAACAATACAATCTAGCCAAACATTGTATCTACCATACAATACATTACAATAGAGTACAATACAATACAATACATTATGAAACAATAGGTAACAATGATCCAAAGGACTGTTATGGTAATATATACTTTATTTGTACTTTTTTTTTTATATGACGTTATGATATTTTATTTCCTTATTTTCATTTTAAAATGTGACACAGCTACTAAAAGTTTCAAAGCACATCATTATTAATTAGAGATCTCAAGTTTGAATTCCCCTTGAATACAGAGTGGCATTTTACATGCAATATGAGACTTCAAGGCACAAATTTAAAATTAGTCGAACTGAAATTCTTTTTTGATATAACCAAGACAAAGGAGGGATATTGGAGACACTGTATGAAGACTATTCCAGCCTTTGCCCAGCTATATGTATATATAAAATATGGTCCCAGATAAAAATTCGATGGTGATTGAAGCTACTGTTTTCCGATGCCATTCTAATCTATGAATCGAAAAACAGACAGCTCTTGACGTATTGAAAATGATTTGAATTGCGATCGTCCTTAATAATAAATTTTGGGTTAAAAATATTCCTCCTTCCAACTAATTTATCCAGTAACCCAAAACAATTAGAAATCATATGAACTCTGTGCGAAACAATCTTTAATTGAT